AATATGAGAAAAAAGAAAAAAAGAAAAAGAAAAAAAAGGAGGAGGGAGCTAGATGGAAAGAGAAGGAAGAGAGAGAACTTAGGGCATTAGCAGTTTCACCATGAAGGCCTCCACTACACTCAGTGAACACATGGTCCCATTGTGGGAGGCCTGTGCTTACAGCCAGTGTCAGTTCCCCGGGCCTCTGTGGGGTGTGTCCCTGTGCAACCGTGACCCTGGAGTTTCAAAGTTCATATGATTTCACATGGTGAGACCCTTCAACACAAACTACTCGAGTTGTTGAGTGAAAGAACAGTGATCTGTTCTATCGCTCTGGGGGAAAACAAAAATCAAACTGGCAGGTTTGATAAAATACTGCAATTTGTGAGAGATGTATGTAACTTTCAAGTGTAATTCTGTTCAGATCCAATTGTTGCCTTTTGTTGACACTAGAACCTAACTCCTTTGTAAAATGAATGTGATTGCACTGTTTACAAAAGCCAATATTTATCTGAATTCTAACCTTTCTTATTTAACAAAAAAACAAAAAAAACAAAACCACAACTCGGTCTTGTAGCTGTTGCTAACAAGCTGGTTTGTCAGGCAGGTTTGTACATTTTATTGTGCTGTACATCTCAATGCTAGCATAGATCCTTCCTATGGGTAATGGTTCACAAAGCAAAGCATAAGGAAGGGATGAGATAATGCGTGCATGTATGCATGCATATGTTTATATGTGTGTGCATGTGCGTGCATACCTATGGGTATGTGTGTGTGGAGTGGGTGTGAGTATATATAATATACACTGTGTGTGTTTTCTCCATAAGGCAGAAAATTCTTAAAAGGCAAAACATTTGTTGAGATTCTTTTCTCATTTTTCTGAAACTCAGTTCCATGCCACTGGAAGACATGTATGTATATTCCTGCAGACCCCACGCACATCCTTTGATGAAATAAAAAACATTAAAGAGCTTCGCCACTCAATGTTCAGGGAACAATCTGATAATGGTATATTACAGTCAACCTGTGAACGTATAGATTTATTTTTATTATTTTCCAGGATATTTCTTCAATAACTACAATTATTTACCTATTTTAAAACTCAATATTCTAAATATTTAAATAAGTTCAGGCTTGATCTGGCTTTCTCTCTCTCTGCCCCACTCCCTTTCCTCTGGCAAATGCCAAGAGATGGCTGTGTAAGCACGCAGGGGGAAGGTGCTCCCTGCAGGCCAGGAACAAGCCTCACCAGAGCCTGACCTACTGGCCCCTCAATCTAGTCCTCCAGTCTCCAGAACTGTAAGGAAAAACCTGTCTGTCATTTATGCCACCCAGTCCATACCATTTGTTATGGCAGCCAGAGTAGATGAAGGCAATGCACATCTACGAAAGAGATGTATAGGAAAAAACTAAAAAGAACTAAGTCTTAGAAGCTTGTCGTAAGGTAACTGCTAACTAAAGAAAACTGATGGGTGAAAAACAGTTCACTTTCTGTCCCTCACTCTCGACCACATTGCCTCTTCAATTGAAGAATGAATCAAACCGAAGTGCCTACAGGGAATAAGCAAGCTAGGTCTGATATTGCAGAGGCTCCGGTGGAAATTGTTTTAGCTGCAAAACCAGTTCCAGGAGCCTAAGTCTGTTTTCAGGATGCAATTGTATTTCTTAAAGCACCTTGGGTTGCCTCGCACGGTTGGTTGTTCTCACTGCCAGGATTTCACGGTTAACTTTGTTTTAAGGTTCATTTCTTTTACTTTTACTTTTCAATTACATTTTACATGCAATATTATTTTGTAATTGTTTCAGATGTACAGCATAGTAGGTAGGCAATCATATACTTTATAATATTTGATATTTCAAGTACCCACCTGGCACCATACATAGTTATTGTAATATCATTGACTATATTCCCTATGTTGGACTTAAATCCCTGACAATTTAGTGACTATAAATTTATAATTCTTATCTCTTCACCCTTTTTACCAAGTCCTCCAATCCCTCTCCCCTCTGGCTATCATCACTCAGTCTCTGTATCTATGAGTCTGTTTAAATGTTGTCTGTTTATTCTGATCTTCAGATTCCACATATAAGTGAAAGTATATGGTATCTGTTTTTCTCAGACTGGCTTATTTCACTCAGCATAATATCGTTTAGGTCTAGCCCTGCTGTAGCAAATAGTAAGATTTCGGGGTTTTTTTTGTGTGTTTTTTTTATGGGTGAGTAACATTCCATTGTATAGATATACCACATCTATTTTTTTTTTAATTTATCCTTCAGCTCCTATACAAAAGCTTCTCTAGTGCCACTGCTATCCCCTACCTAGACATCCCCCTTCCATGATAACATCATCATTATGGACATCATCTTTATCATCTGGTCATATGCTTATTACTTTACAGTTTTCTATACCATAACTCATTGATGTTTCATGGAACACCCCAAACTAACCAGAATATACTGAATGTACAAAGGTTTGTTGAATAACTGTGAATGAATGAAGGAATGAGTCAGCCTTTGGGGCCTACTAGAATTGACCACAGAGGCCTCAAAGTTCTCCAAAGTACAGTGTAAAAAAAGTCCTGGATATTTTATTATTAGACAACAATGCAAGCACTTCAGTCCAATTCTCCCACCTACACCTAATCCTTTCAGCTTGTAGAAGAAGAAAATAAAATTGAACTTCAGAAACTACTGAGTTTCTGTCTCACTGGTGATGCTAACGCTACTCATAATTTGAGTTAAAAATAAACTTTTTTTTCTTAAAACTGAAGGTGTAAGCATGAAGAGAAGAGAGAAATTGAGTAAAGTACAGTTTAAAGTAGTCACCAGAAGAGCACACCTGGGGTAACTTTAACAGTAATAATTTTTGTAAATGTGCAGTTATTTTCCTGAGGAAACACTAAATATCCTGTTGCTTGATTCATTAGAAATTATATTGTCCAAAACATCAGGAAATAGAAAATTATGTATATGTTGGGATGAATCAGGAATGCCAATTTAAATTTTATACTTTAGCATCAATATTTTCATATTCATTTGGTAAGAAATCAGAATGACTTAATGGGATTAATTATTTACAAGAAAACTTCTTTTATGCATTTACTTTGTTTTTGTTGTATGTAAAATGCTTTATACTTTGTAGGGAAGATCTTCTCCCTCTTAAGGAGATTTTTCATTCAATAAGAGGAAAAGTATTTTAATATATACTACGATAGGCTCCCCACCTCCACATCGAGGAGTAAAAATGAGAACTATTGGAATTCCCAATGCTGATAACCTGAGTAGAAACGAAAATCAAATCAAAACACTTTACTAAGTGCTTTGATTGCAAGCTCATGTCAGACATCATTAATTAATCACAGTTCTTTTTCTTGCAGAACCTAGACACTCCCAAATGCCGTCTCAATACAACAACTCTAAATAGTCACATCAATCAATCGCATAGGAAAAGGAGAGGGAGACTATTTGTTGCTTCAATTCTATAAACAAACCAAGAACTTATATAAAATAGAAACTCAAGTACTTCCTAAGAGAGAATGCCATTTGAAATGAGCAAAGAAGAAAAAATCATCTCCATTTTCTTTCTTTCTTAAATTGAGTTAAAATGAACATAACATTACACATATAAGATTCTACATTTGTATATGCAGTTATTCACTAAATAACAACAGGGCTACATTCTTAGAAATGAATCATTGGGGATTTTGTGTTTGCACACACATCATAGGGTACACTTACACAAAACTGGATGGTAGAGCCTCATTCACACCTAGGCTTCATAATATAGCCTATTGCTTCTAGGCTACAAACCTACACAGCATGTTACTGTGCAAAACTACATGAGATAAAACCAAGCACAAGAAAAAATGAAGCAATCAAGAAAAATTGGAAACAAGATGTGTAAGGCTACTGCCAGCATCACACAGCATACTGTTTTAGCAATTAGTAGAAAGAGTGCACTCTAAAATAATGATAAAAGTATAATATAGAAAATACAGAAACCGATAACATAGTTGTTATCATTGTCAAGTATTATATACCATACATACTGCATATGACTGGCATTACAGTATGTATCTCACCAGTATCACCACAAACACATGTGTAATGTGTTGTGCCATATGTTAAGGTGGTGATGCCATCACTGTCATAGTAATTTTTCAGTTCTGTTATAATCTTACTAGAGGCCTGGTGCTGGAAGGGGGTCTGCCCCCTCTCCGTCCAGGATCCCTCAGGGACAGGAGGTGACCTAGCGATCAGGGGAAGGAGATGCCCCATCACACCTCTGCTGTTGCTACTGCTGGTAGTGCAAACCTTGGCCAGCCCTGGTTACCTGCCGGATCTGGGCAGCTGGGCAGCCACCATCTAAAAGTTTGCCTGCACTTTGGGCTAGCCATAGGTGGCTGGGGGGATGAAGAGATTTGGGAAAGGCACATGGAGTGGCTGGGCCTGCCTGGGGGCGGGCCTGGCCTTGCCATGCACCTGCTGCTTGAGCGGGGCTGAGGGGACTGGATGCCGCCATTTTGTGGCTATGGGCACCACCATATTTGAGTGTGGGGCAGTCAATTAGCATATTCCCTCCTTATTAGATAGGATGGGACTGCTATCCACCAGATCCATTCTTTTTTTAAAATATATTTTTATTGATTTCAGAGAGGAAGGGGGGAGAGAGAAAAAGAGAGATAGAAACATCAATGATGAGAGAGAATCGTTGATTAGTTGCACCAAGCCCACAACCCCGGGCATGTGCCCTTCACCAGAATCAAACCTGGGACCCTTCAGTCCCCAGGCTGACACTCTATCCACTGAGCCAAACCAGCTTGGGCCATCAGATCCATTCTTGACTAACATGTCATTATGTGTGCATGGCTGTATTGCAAAATGATCATCACAGTAAGTCCAGTTAACATTTGGCACCATACACAGCTACTTGTGATGAGAACCATCAAATCCACTTTCCTAGATACTTTTAAATATGCAATGCAGCATTATTACCTATAGTCACATGCTCTACATTACATAAAAATATGGAATGCTTCATGAATTCGCCTGTCATCCTTGTATAGAGGCCATGCTAACTTCTCTGTATTGTTCCAAACTGGGTATATGTTCTGCTAATGTGAGCACAAAAGTCATCTTCTTTTAAGGAAGAACTAATAGCTTGCTGAGAGCTCAAAGTGGGCAACAGTCATTGCATCACAAAAAAAAAAAATAAATCTGAAGCAGAGAAAAGGAAATAGGAGTTGGATGTTCATTATTTCATTTTAATTAGTCCAATCTATTACTAGAGCCTTAAAAATAAGATCAGAAACCCAATTTTTATAAACATCTTAACTTTTCAGCTTTTGTGTGTCCCTCCCCACCTCTTACTCATAGTTCAAAATTTTGCTTTGAAAAGCTGTCTCCAAGAAACAAAGAGATTTCCCACACCTAAATCTGAAGAGTAATGGGATAATAATACCCACAGGATGGGGAAACAAGGGCAGCAATGAAGGAGAGCTTTTGGGAGAAGTGTGTAAAAGGGTTGGGGGATTCGCAAAGCTGAACAAGAGGAAAACTGAGAAAGAACAAATGGAAAGTCTGGCTGAGGTGGGGAGAACCCTATCAGCTGGGTCCTCTGCTCACAGAGAGAAATAACCTCCGGGCCTGTCACTTACAGAACTGCTCTGTCTCTGTCCCCTCATGGTCACATTTTTAATCTTAGATAAAAATGCAGACAATAGGGTGGTGAAGGCTTGGGGCAGGGCAGGAACCAGGGATAAAGGGTAAAGTGGGGGGGAAAGGGGGAAATATCTGTAATGTTCTCAACAATAAAGATTTTTTTAAACTTATCTGAAATACTTGTTTAAAAAGTTATCTTTATTGTTGAAAGTATTAGAGATGCCCTCCCCCTTTTATTTTCCCATTGACCCCCTCCACCCTACATCGACCCTCCCAGGCTTTCATCATGTCTGTGTCCATAGGCTATACATATATGCATATAAGTTCCCCATTAATCTCTCCCCTCCCACCAACCAACCCCTGTCTTTCTTAAATACTACTTTTAATGTCAGATTTATTTAAAGAATCCAATGCAAGAACATCAGATATGTTGTCAATTATATTATCTTTTCAAGACTGTCTATGGAGCCAGCTTTTTATTCAACCACACTTTACAAGTAGGTAACTTGAGATCGTCATTTGTCTACAACAAACTCAGATTTTTCTCCTTCAAATGCAAGCTGTATGGTATTTAATGATTTCCAATAAGGACCTCTTCTTTATCAATTAATCCTAAGAGTTGAACATCATCAGCCTTCTTTTACAAGTTCTGGAAAATCACTTTTCACTCTAAGAATATTGAAATACTGACAATATAATTCTTTCATTAGAATTTAAGGTAAGTGGGGAGATGTCAAAGTGAAAAAAGTTTAACTGCAATCCCCCTTTATTCAGCATCATTCCCATTATCATTCACTTTGATGTATTAAACTTTGATCTGTGAGAAGGTGCCATTATTCTCATATAATTTGAACATATTATAGTTCTTCAAAATATCTAATTAATACACACTAAGTTTTAGATAAACTGAACAGAAACCTAGCTTTCATACACTTGAATATATTTAATGAGCAGTTCAGTGAAAGATAAATACTATCCATAAAAAGACATTTTTTAAAAATATGAAGCTTTGTGGGACATATGATTTGGCATGTCCAGAGCCTATCTTTGAGAAACACTCTTTTGTGCCATGCTGTTTCCCTTGGTCGCACCATCCCACTGCCAGAATGTGGATCACACATAGGTCCCGGGCTGCCTAGCAACAGTGACCAGGCCAGCGAGTGGACATGTGACTGAAACATTACCAAGTGGGGTCCTTTCTTAGGTCAGCTATACAGACACATGATGGATGAGCATCTGAGGCTAAAAGCAGTCACCTCCCCTGCCCAGTAGAGGAAAGCTGTCTGCAAAATGCGGCTGTTCAGAGACAAGCAGATGTGAGAGAAGAAAGGAGACAGCTCTGGAATATCCATCCCAGTTCTAATTTCTGAAGTCCTGGCCTGTGTGTACCTTCATTGGATCCTACAATATATTTTATAATTCCAACCAAAGTAAACAAATGAAGTCCTGCTTGTTTAATCTTGTTTGAGTTACTTACTACCCTAGAGAATCTTGATTAATACAAAACACACACACACACACACACACACACACATAAAATCATTTCTGAAAATTTTTCCTTAAAATAATAGAATTCTAGGCTTACAACACAAAGCTAATCCTACTTTGCATTGAACACAAAATTAATTCAGGATAAATAGTAAGACTAAATTTAAAAGCTAAAACTTCTAGAAGAAAACTGGAAAACAAGTTCACAATCTCAGGGAATAAAGTGAGTTTTTTTTTTAAAAGAATATAAAAATAACTATAAAAATTTATACATTAGACTTTATTAGGAATCTGTTCATCAAAAGGCATCATTACAAATGAACAGGCAAGCCAGTCACTGTTAGAAAATAGTTGCAAAACATATATCTGCCAAAAGAATTAAATCCATAATATGTAAATGCTTCCTATGACTATATAATACAAAGACAAAAGAAAGAATTTAGAATATAGAAAAATTCATGTAGACACTTAACAAAGGAAGATATACAAATGACCAGTTCTCATGAAAAAGTTCCAGCATCCTTATCCATCAGAGGAATGTATATTAAGATCCAATGAGATGCAATAACATAAACATGTAAATGGGTAAAATTTAAAACAGACTGATAATACCAAATGTTGGTGAAAATATGGAGCAACCAGAATTTTCATACATTTGCTGGTATAACCACTTTTGTAAAAGGTTTGACAACATCTTGTAAAGTTAAACATATGTCTGCCTATGACTTAGCAATTCCAACCATAGATGTATAAACAATAGAAATGGAATTCATATGTTCACAAAATATTTGTACAAAACTGTTCATAGTAGTTTTATTCATATTAGCCCCAACTTGAAATAGTCCAAACAGTGCCCAACAATAATGAATAGATAAACAAATTTAAAAGCTGAAACTTCTAGAAGAAAACCACACAGTGAAATACTCTTTAGTAAATAACAAGAACCAAATTATACATACACATAACACCATAGTTTTTATAATGAGTAAAATAAGCCAGATAAAAGAATATACATTTTATGATTCCATTCACATGAAGTTCTAGAATAGACCAAACCAGTCTCTGGTTGTAGAAATAAGAAAAATGGCTACTCTTCAAGTGGTGGATATTGACTGTAAAGGGGCATAGGGGACTTTCTACGGTTATGGAAAAGCCTAGTATCTTGATAGGACATGAGTTACATGAATATAGACATTTGTTTAAACTAATTAACTATATTTCTAATTCCAATCTTAAACCACAAGACACATTCTTATCTTCCCATTTCCATATTTGTAACTTCCTTTTCCAATAGTGACAAACCTGGCTTTCCTTTATGTTCAACATATATATGTATTTGCTCAACTTGTAGACATTTGTCTAAACTAATGAAATATACACTTCAGATCTGCACACAAATTATGTTGTTTTAATAACTTAAAAAACCCTTGGAAAATATTGAATTCTATTTAGTAGGCTTGTTTTGTACTAATTGTTATGGATTAACAATTCTGAAATTAACTTCTGTGTATTTCAAGTCGAACAAGTAAATATATGTGTTGAACAAAATGGGAAGCCAGGTTTCTCACTATTGGAAAAGGAAGTTACAAATATGGACATGAGAAGACAAGGATGCATCTTGTGGTTTGAGATTGGAATTAGATATACCATTATTAACTTAAGGCATATAATATGATTATTTGTTTTATACACATACTAGAGGCCAGGTGCACAAAATTTGTGCATGGTGGGTGGGGCCCCTCTGCCCAGCCTATACCTTCAATCCGGGAACCCTCAGGGGATGTCCAACTGCCAATCCCAGGGATCGGGCCTAAACCAGCAGTTAGACATCACTCTCACAATCTGGGACTGCTAGCTCCTAACTGCTCACGTGCCTGCCTGCCTGATTGCCCCTAACTGCCTCTGTCTGCTAGCTTGGTCACCGTCAAGTGCGCCCCCCCCCCCCTTGCTAGCCTGATTGCCCCTTACTGCCCCCTTTGCCAGCCTAGGCACCCCCAACTGCCCCCCCCCCCCCGCTGTTTGCCTGGTCATCCATAGGTTCCCCCTGCTGGCCTGGTTGCCCCCACTGCCCCCCTGGTGGCCTGGTTGCCACTTACTGCCCCCCCCTCCCCTACCTGCCAGCCTGGTCACCCCACTCAGCCTGCTATACAGTTGTTTGGTCATCCCTCACTAATTCCCCTGCTTGCTTGGTTGCCCCATGCAGCCTTCTGTTTAGTCATTTGGTCATCCCTCACTAACCCCCCTGCCAGCCTTGTTGCCCCATGCAGCCTGCTGTTTGATCATTACTGTTACTGTGAGGGCATCCCAGATAATTTGTATATTCCTCTATTATTGGTATATATAGTGTAGTGATGACTACAGTCAAGCTAATTTATACATAACCTTATCATGTAGTTACCATTTTTGAGTGTGATGAGAGAATCTGAAATCTACTCTCAGTATTCAATAAAGTATTATTAACTTTAGTGATCAGACTGTACATTAAATCTCTAGAATTATTCACCTTACCTAACTGCAACATTAAACTTTAGACCAAGATTACATGGTTTTTAACAGATAGCTACATAGACATAGAAATAAATATAGATACACATTTACTAATGCTATTAACTGAGAGGGCCTAGAAGTAATGGCATACCAGTAACATTGAATAAATACACTTATTGTCCAAACATTGACTTGTGAGTGCAATGTACTATAAAATGGAAGCATGACTACTAGGATGAGAGGTTCATTCCAGGGGTTGGTCAGGAAAAGTATCAGATAATCCTAGAATAATATGTTCCAGAAAGTCAGGAAATACTCAATAATCATGTGGAAATATTAAAAGGCTACAGAAACTAGTTTGAAATGCTTTTCAAACTAGTCAAAATGGGAAAGTTTGAGAGTCTATTGAGCCAAACTGGTCTCGGCATAAGTTTGAGAATCTAAATAAATAATGACAGTATGGGTAATAACTGTAGAATAAAAGATAAGAG